GAATAGCATGGAAATAAAATAAAAAAAGCAAAAATGAAATAAAGGCAAGAAAATGGATCTTTCGATTCAGGTGGAAAGACCCTTCGATTCTGCATTATCTGGCCTCCTTCAATTTGGGTTCCGAAGTCAATGGAGTCCTGTCCTTCGATTTGCCTTTCTGTCTCCTTCGATTGAGGGTTGGAATTAGGATGGTCATGCCTTTTGTCTGGGTCTGGAAGTCAGCATGGTTCTGCCTTTCGCTTGAGACTTGGAGATAGCAAAGTTCTGGCCTTCGTTTGAGGCCTGGAGACAACAAGGTTCCGGCCTTCGTTTAAGGCCTAGGAGCAACAAAGCTCATTCTTCACCATAGAATCCTTGCTAACTCCTTGTAAGCATATTAGGCCCTCAGATTATGATTCGAAAAGCTTGTACGACTAGCCAATCGAATGGTATAACAAACCTGTCTTAAAGTCTAAAAATGCAATAACCAAACATAACTACAACCCAGGGGTTAGTATGAAAACTAATGGGTCTCAAAGTCCAAAATATAACTAAACTAACATTGAGTTTTCAACATATAGGCAGTCAGAATCGAAAGCTGAAACATGGTCTAGGAATGTCTACATTTTTCTTTATTGGCATGTGCACATGATATCAAAATAGAATAGGTGCAAGTTTGAAGGAAACTTACCTCCTGAAGCTCTTAAATCGAAGGGAGATGTAAGTGCCTTCTTTAACAGAGAATGGGAGTTCGTTGGAACCTTCCTGAGGCTAATATAGTTACTACTTTGTGAAAGCAGTGACTGGGTCGAAATAGGTTGTGTGAGTGGAATCGAAGGCTTTTTTATAACAAGTGATGGGGTAACTCAAAGGCCTGTTGTATGGTAGATGAGGGAGTGGGTCGAAGGGTAGTTTGATGTTCACTTGGGGATGAATCAAAGGTTTTTTCTTATTGTATATAAGTGTTTGAAAAAGAATGTTGGGAAGTGTTTGAGAAATTTTTGAGAATTTTCACAAGTGTTTCCTTGCAATCCTTCAGGCGCCCTCAATATGTGTGGTGATGCCTCTTATTTATAGATGGCTTGGACTGATGCTTTGGGAGGGAAAACAAAAGGTTCAAACAAAAAGGGTATGCTGTATTTGTAGCTTTCGAGGGACATTGTTTTATTGCCATTTTGGTGCAAGGAATAAGGCAGCAATGCAGGACTGCTGTGCAACAGTTTTGGAGTTTTATGGTCAGTGTATCATGCCTGATCCTGGAAGCGCATAAGACTCGGTCAACAAGTACCTTTGGCATCTCAACCTTTTGTCTTGACCCCCTAGCCTTGCCTTTCAACCAGACTTTTCAATAACCATCTCTTTTTTCAAATCGAAGTGTCATTTGAATGACTCCTATGGATATCCTTCGAATGGGCCAAATTAATGCTCTTGGGATGGGTCAGCAACATATGTCCTTCGATTGGGGACATCTAAACATGCATGACAAACCCTTCGAATGCACCACTATGGTGGTTCCTTCGCTTGAGGCAATGGCATAGTGAAGAGTTTGTGTGTTTAAAGCAGGCCATCTCTACAGGAGATCTTGCCCACTCAAATTTGCCTGCAAAGGGGCCATATGGCCAAATGAAAGAGTGTGTGCAGGAGGTTCCTGCCTTGTGACCTTATGCAAATATGTTCAAACGAAAGCTTGCAAAAGAGGAGCCATATGCCCAAACGAAAGGCATGACTAAAGACTTGTGCTCAAGGATTCACACCCCCAAGTGAAGGATGCATGCAAGGGATAGAAGGCTCAATCGAAGCTTTCACGTTGGGAAATTCATTGCCTCAAATGGAGGGGGCTTGCAGGGGGGAAAATGTGTGATCAAAAGAGGGAAAAAGGGAGGTTTTGGCCTTATGAATCAAAGGACATCATCAGGAATTTTTTTTTCCTAGTGAATTGAAGCTGTTTTGATGGGAAGTGTTGCTCTGTCGAAGCTTGTAACAAAATGCTTCAAAGGGGACTTTGGCCTTGTGCATGTTATTATGGTAGGAAATTCTGCCTTGTATGTCTTGACTAACACGCAGGGAAGATACTGTGTGGCCAAACGAAAGATTTGCGCAAACATTCAAACGATGTCTATCGCTAAAACGAAACAGGAATTAATCTTAGCAAAATGAGCCCAATGCCTCAACCGAAGCATGAAATGAATTTGCCCCAAAGGAATCCAGCGCCCAAACGAAAGATGCAACCAAGGCCAAAATGTCCAATCGAAGGATGCAAAATCGAAAGGAACTTGCTTTTCCTTTAATTTTATCAAAAAGAACATTTTCATTTGTTTTGTCCTTTTTTAGCAATTTCTTCCTTAATCTTAATGCTAAAAAATACAAATATATTTGTGTAAGCTTGGATTTTGGGAATCCTTTGTGAGAATTGTCTTGAGGAATGAGAGGGCAAATTTTTTAGTACAACAGAAACTCTCTAGTCTGTCTTTCCAGTACTCAAATCTTTCTCCATAAAAATAAGAGGCTTAGAGAATTAGTTATCTCTTTTGTTTGTGTTTGTAGGCGCAACCATAGTATGTTTTTCTCAATTGGATCTCTCTACACGGTTAAGTGTTTGATTTGAAAATCAATAAAGAGCCGGAGCTCTTGATACCAATTGAATGGTGAGAAAAACACAAGAAAGAGGTTTAAATTGGGTTTTCTAACAAGCTTTTTCTTTAAAAAAAATTATTTTGCAAACTAACTAGAAAGAATAAGACGAAGGAAAGAATAAAATGACTCCCTTTTAGTTTATACAAGTTCACCTTCAACAAGGCTACTCTTGCCCACCCGCCAAGGTGATTTTTCCTTCAACAAGGACTTAATACACTAATCTCAACAAATTATAGATGCACAGGCTACCCGTCAGTGACTCACAACAATCTTCTAAGAGTCTAAAAAGACACCTTAGCCTTCTTAAGTCTACAGACTAACAACCTAGTCACTTGAGGCAATAATAAATTCTAGACATAATTACAATAACATGTTTTATAATGTTTGCTTCTAAAAAGCATATTAACACAATAATAAAAAACAAAGTCTCTAATACAAATAATGAGCAACAACTCTTTATATTGAGAACTCTAAGATAAACACAAATAATGAGCAACAACTCTTTATGTTTAATCCCTAATATCTTAACACAATAATGAGCAACAACTCTTGTGTTCTTGATATTTCTCTATAAGAATATTTATGGATGAATATTTGAATATTTATTCTTCTTTTCTCTTGACATTTTTTAGTATTTCAACAATTTGATTCAAGCTTGATAATATTGAGTAATTCATTGTTCTTCAAATGCTGTTGAGGTCTCTTTATATAGACTTTGAAAAATAGACCGTTGGTAGTACACAAACATTGTTTTCACTTGCCAGCTACAGTAACGGTAACATTTCATCATGGAAGACAAAATAATACAATACGTAAGCATGTAGTGGAGTTTGAAGCATATTGTCTGTACTATTTTCTTCGTGGCTAAGTTTCTTAGAACCTTATCTTCTGATGTTTTACTTCTGGCTTGAAGTAGTAAGCTTGGAAGATATCTCTTTCTGATCTTTGTCCCTTTTCTCTTTGCTGGATTGATTATGATATAATGAATGAAGATGATCCAGAAGATGCTTCATTGTTGTAGAGTCAGAGTCTTTTAGTTAGTTAAATATTTTTCTTCATATATATATATATATATATATATATATATATATATATATATATATATATATATATATATATATATATATATATATATATATATATATATATATATATATAAAAGTAACAACTTATCTGATAATCAATGTCTTATTTATGAGCGAAAGCTTTTATGATCTATACGTCTTGATCTGATCTTTGATTTCTGATAATAACTTTTATGAGCTGCATGTTTGATGTCTGATTTCTGAAGCAGAAGCTTATGTCAGTGCATCTGAATTTTTGATTCATACTTTTTGATTTCATCCTTGATTTTTGACTTCTGATCTTGGATTCTAATCTTTGATTTGAGCTGGAAGCACAAAGCTTGCGTCAGCTACTTCTTTGTTTCTGATCCTTTTCCTTTCTGATCTTGATCTCTGATGCTGAGCTGGAAGCAAAAGATTGTGTCAGCTACATTTGATTCTGACATTTTGGTTTTCGATCAAAATCTCTCTCTAGAAGCGTATGTGATTTCTGACCTGAGAGTGGTGCTTTTCTGAGAACACATTTGATTCTCTTTTTGACAAACATTCAACATTCCTTAGAACTGCTGATGTTTCTTTAGAAACGGTCATAATAGTTCTTCTGGTGAGTGCAATGGTGTTTCTGATGATATCTTTAAAAAGACTATCCAAAATCTTGATATCTACACACTCAATAAAACTATTAAAAACTAAAATTATTTCTCATCAAATATATGTGTTGTTATCATCAAAACTTCGAGATTATATTATAAGCATAAATTTTATTCTAGTAGAAAGGACTAAAATATATAACCGGGTATAATTTAGTAGACCACTATGTAATATGTTTTTTTTTTAGGGACCAAAGAAAAACATTAACTTAAAGTTAAGGAATCTTAAGCTTATATTGTTTCATTTTTATTTATAATAAATCTAGATCATTAAAAAGTTCAGATGGTCAATTTGATATGCTTCACTAATTGGGGGATTTAGTTGAACTCTCACCTTAGCAGCACCATAAATATAATAACAAAATATGACTATTTTATAAAAGAAAAATGTTAATAATGGTAAAGTTTTCAAATTTCATAAAAAAAATTGTAGAGGGTAGACGGTGGGATCCTTAGCATTTTGAAGTGTCTAAAACTCAAAATAAGCAACTAATCAAGATCCAGATCTAATAAAAATTCAAAAAGTTGATTTTCTCTCTCCTATCTCTCTCTCTAGTCCGAATAGAGTGCCCTCTCTTATCATTCAAAATCCATTTCTCTCCCCCAACGGCTACTTCAAACTTCCCTTCTCTCTCTTCTTTCTCTCTTCACTCTCTTCTCTCCATCCCCAACAATGAAGCACTTCATGCTTCCAAGAAACCCAATGGCGAGAGACACAACCGAGCTTCCATCTTCATCAAGCCCTAGCAGCTCCGCCAAAACAAGACCCTCTTCTCGCAAACACAAACCCTCCAAAGAAAACGATCCTCCTTCAGATCACAACATCATCGTCCCGTATTCACCCTCTCATGTCAAATTGAAGAGTCCGTTACCACCAAGACCGCCTTCTTCCAATCCTCTCAAACGTAAACTCGCTCTCGACGCCGTCGCCGCTGATAATTCACTCCCGGCAACTTCCGATTCCGGCGTTAAGGTTTTTTCTATTCATCTAGGGTTTTAGATCTTGCCAATTTATTTTCCGTTTCTAATTTTGAACCTGTATGTGTTGTTTAGGTTATTGTCAGGATGAGGCCGTTGCGGAAGGATAAGGACGAAGGAGATCCTATAGTTCAGAAGATTTCTGATGATTCGTTATCGATTAATGGCCGTACTTTCACTTTTGATTCTGTTGCTGATGTTGAAGCTACTCAGGTGTGGTTTTTGTTTCTGCTGAAACTGTTTTTGGATTACTTTATTTCTACTGTGGTTGATTACTGAGTGAATTTTCTGATTCTGATTTTCAGCTTGATATTTTTGAGCATGTTGGAGTTCCTCTGGTGGAGAATTGTTTGGCTGGTTTCAATAGTTCTGTCTTTGCTTATGGACAGGTTTCCTTTTTCTCACTATTAACATTTAGTTCCTTATGTTGCTTCATTTCTCATAGTGCTGTTCGTGTTAGATATTAACATTTAGTTGCTTATTTTGCTTCATTTCTCATAGTGTTGTTCCTGTTAGATCTTAATATTTACTTGCTTATTTTGCTGCATTTTTCATAGTGATGTTCCTGCTAGATGTTAACATTTAGTTGCTTATTTGCTTATTGTGCTGCATTTCTCATAGGGATTCCGGTTAGATATTAACAATAAGTTGCTTATTTTGCTGCATTTATCATAATGTGTTCCTGTTAGATTTGATGATTTAAATACTCTATTTGAAATTGTTAGACGGGGAGTGGAAAGACGTATACAATGTGGGGTCCTGCCAATTCTTTGGCTGAAGCAAAAGAGCAACAAGGACTTACACCCCGAGTTTTTGAAAGACTGTTTGCGCGCATAAACGAAGTAAGATTTCAGTTCTATTCCTAATTTAATTACTTGAATATTTCATGTTTTGGGTTGTTTTTACAGTTTTATTTACTTCTCAGGAGCAAACAAAGCATTCTGATCAACAGCTCAATTATCAGTGCAACTGCTCTTTTCTTGAGGTTGGTCGATTATCTATTTCTTTCGATGCTCCTGATCTTAACTTTGTCATTTTAGTCTGCATAATAACACAATGTTTTTGGCAGATATACAATGAACAAATCACAGATCTGTTGGATCCGAGTCAAAGGAACCTTCAGGTAGTAGAACCTAACCGTTACAGGTTTTATTTATTGTTTATCATGTTTCACTGCTTTATACTGAAACTGATTTGTTATCCTTTATCCAGATTAGAGAAGACGTCAAATCAGGTGTGTATGTTGAGAATCTTACAGAGAATCAGGTGTCCACGATGGAGGATGTTACTCAGCTTTTATTGAAGGTGTGATTCACCACATCACTGTCTTCGCATGCATTGTATTAAAATAAATATCATCACTATTTTTTGACATAACTTAGAGCATTTGCTGAACTTATCTTAGCATGCTATTCTATATAGCATACAAGTTTTCATACTCTAAAACTCAAGTAACTCGGTGGATATGCTTTATTTGATTGCCAAAATATTGTATGGTTTTGTGCTACGCAGACCCAATAATATAAATCCAAATGATTTTAAAATTAAGTTATCATTGTGCTTGTGTTATTTATATTCACTTGTTTTACTAGAATCCTCCCTTCAATGTGCAGGGATTATCAAACAGGAGAGTAGGTGCAACCAGTATAAATTCTGAAAGTTCCCGCTCACATACTGTTTTTATTTGTGTTGTTGAGTCTCGAGGCAAGGTGATACATTCTTCCCTTATGGCATGCAGATTATGTCCATTTATTGAACTTTTGTATCATCAGGGAACTCTTGATCTCATATTATAAAGGAAATCTGTTAGAAAATGAAAATCTGACCATTAAAATTTCTTGTTTATCTCTGTACTTGTGTCCTCGAGTGCTTGTATTTGGGAAATATTACTCTGCCTACAGTTGAGCTTTGAATTAACATGTTCAGTATTGTTTTTGGCATATATATCTGGGAAGGAATTGTAACGTAAATTGATATTTGCAGAGTATAGCAGATGGTGTGAGCAGATTTAAAACCAGTAGAATAAATCTTGTTGATCTGGCTGGGTCAGAACGACAAAAATCAACAGGTGCTGCTGGAGAGCGTTTGAAGGAGGCTGGCAATATTAATAGATCACTTTCACAGCTTGGGTATGGCTTATCTTATATGTGTATTAGTTGCATTACATTCAGAGTTGAAAATAATTACAAAAAGTGATTTGGTGATGTGAATTTGTCTCGTATCATAATTTTTTAGAAAAAGGATAAGTGGATGAAGCTTTAGACAGAAACACAGGAAAGCTTAATAACATATTTTTGGAATCTTCAATGGAGATTTATAAACCACCACAAAACCCTGAAATAAGCCGAATAACATGTCATCCTGAAGCAGAAGAATAAATGATAATAAGGACAGTTCAAAGCTGATTGTTACAGTATATGAACTTTCATTTTGAGTTTGAAACTAAAATAGTAACAAGGGATTTTAAAAGAGAAAAATATGGAAAAGGGACCAAACTATATTATGGAAGAGATGTGGGTGATTTTTGTAATCAATGATTTCTATTGGAACCAGTTCTTACCAAGGTTAAATTGAACTACAGGAATTTGATAAACATTCTCGCGGAAGTCTCTCAAACAGGAAAACAGCGGCACATACCATACAGAGATTCCAGGTTGACATTTTTGTTGCAGGAGTCTCTTGGAGGAAATGCCAAATTAGCAATGGTTTGTGCTATTTCACCGGCACAAAGGTAGAACTTACACCACCAGTCATTTGAAATGTTTTCCCTAGTAATCTATTTGTATTATGATTTTTTACATGACTTGGTATTGCAGCTGTAGGAGTGAGACTTTCAGTACATTGAGATTTGCACAATGTGCCAAAGCCATCAAGAACAAGGCAGTGGTTAATGAAGTTATGCAGGATAATGTGAACCACTTGCGACAAGTGATACGACAATTAAGGGTATATTCTCTTCCAGAATCCCCTGTCATGTGTTGATTTAGCCATTCTTTGAAAATTGAAGTTCATTTGAATAACTCTAGTGTAAAAAATCAACAGGATGAACTACATCGAATTAAAGAAAATGGTTACAATCCAATGGACCCAAGTGGAGGTCATTCAGCAGCTTGGGTCCGAAAAAGCTTGAACATATTACAGTCTAGCCTTAATAGACCGCCACCGTTATGCCGTGTTGATGAAGATGGTGATGAGGAGATGGAGATTGATGAGGATGATGTTGAAGACCATGATGAAGTTTTCTGCAATGCTAATGTCAATTGTAATTTTGTATCAGAAAATGACAGCAAAATGAACACTGATGATCAAGATTTGGTCCAACCCAGTGAGGAAAATAATTGTGGTGTCTCTGGCAGTAAACTTATCGATGAAGAATCATCCTGTCCCGTGGGTGAATCTGACATTGAAAATTTCACTGGTTTTTCAGCCCCATATCCGCCTAGTGATTCTCCCAACGCTCTAGTGAATTGTGTCTCACCTGGTGACCTTAGCATAGTTAAGTGTGAAATATCTCCAATCCTGAAATCTCCAACTCCTAGTGTTTCTCCTAGAATCAGCACCAGTAGAAAAAGTCTTAGGACATCGTCAGGGGTGTCACCTTCGGAGAACGATGTTCATGTTGAGAGTGAATTAGGCATAAAAACTGGCAATCTGAAAAGCTCGGCTACTGCCTTTTCTAGTCAGGCCGGGCCAAGTTTCCTTACAAAAACTGAAAATTTAGCCGCAAGCATTCGCCATGGTCTCGAAATTATAGATAGTCATCGAAGTGCAGCTTTGAGGCAGTCATCTTATAGGTTTTCATTACGACCAAGAGAATCTAGACCAACTTTCACAGTTGACAAAGTTGACGTGGGCGTGCAGACCTTTCTTGATGACAATGTTGAGGAAGATTATATGTTCACCTGTAGTAATTGTAAAAACAGAGCACAACTCGAGGTCAATGAGACTGACAATAGCTCGAACCTACAGTTAGTACCTGTCAATGAGATTGAAAATAGCTCGAACCTACAGTTAGTACCTGTCAATGAGATTGAAAATAGCTCGAACCCTAAGAAGCAAGTTCTCAAAGTAAGTGCAAGAGTGCAGATGAATTTTTCAATACAACTTATTCTTTATATTGTAGTTATAACTAGAATTCCATTATCTTGCATTATAGGCAGTAGAGAAGGTCTTGGCAGGATCGATAAGGAGAGAAATGGCACTCGAGGAGATTTGTGCAAAGCAGACTAATGAAATAGCGCAGCTTAATCGTTTGGTATATTCCCTTTGTCATCTACCAACAACCATCTCATTGTTTTCTTTCTGTCACTGTTTGTGACTGTTTCCCCCCTTGCTATTTGCAGGTTCAACAATACAAGAATGAGAGGGAATGCAATGCCATAATTGCACAGACAAGTGATGAAAAAATTCTTCGCCTTGAGAGCCTTATGGATGGTGTCTTGCCCACCGAGGAGTTCATGGATGAAAAGCTGGTAGTCCTTACCCATGAACACAAGGTAGAAATATGTTCTTGTAAGGTTTCCCATTTATGACTTGATAGATGCTTATAAGTTAATTTTAATTAACAGATTTTAAAGGAGAAATACGAGAATCATCCAGAAGTTTTGAAGATGGATATAGAGTTAAAAAGATTACAAGATGAACTACAAGAGTATCAAAATTTCTACAAATTGGGAGAGAGGGAAGTATTGATGGAAGAGTTACAAAGTTTAAGAAGCCAGCTTCAATTTTATATTGATTCGTCATCCACCGCAAGGAAGCAGTATCCATTACTGCAACTGACATGTCCATCTGAACCCAGTTTTGCTGCAACAACTCTCACTGCCATTCCAGAGTCAATAGTGGAAAGGGATGAGACAGGTGAAACTCTAGCATCAATCAGAGACAGTTTTGAAGTAAAACTTGAACAAGAAAGAATTAAATGGACTGAGGCAGAAAGCAGGTGGATTTCTCTTTCTGAAGAACTGAGAGCCGATCTTGAAGCTAACAGGTCGTTAGCTGAAAAGAGGAAACACGAATTACATGCTGAGAGGGAGTGTAATAAAGAACTTCAGGAAGCCATGCATATGGCTATAGAAGGACATGCACGACTTTTAGAACAGTATGCAGATTTGGAAGAGAAGCACGTCCAATTACTTGCAAGGCATAGAAGGATCCAGGAAGGAATTGAGGATGTCAAGAAAGCAGCTTCCAAAGCTGGGGTAAGAGGTGCTGAGTCCAAATTTATAAATGCCCTTGCTGCAGAAATTTCAGCATTAAAAGCTGAAAGAGAAAAAGAAAGGCGAATCTTAAGGGACGAAAATAGAGGGCTCCAGGCTCAATTGAAGGATACTGCAGAAGCAGTGCAAGCTGCAGGTGAACTGCTTTTCAGGCTTAAAGAAGCCGAAGAATCTGTGATTAATGCACAGGTTAGTAAGGAATCAATTTTACTTCCATTTTGTGTTATTATGTTTACCTGCTATTATCAGGCACATTGTCTTTGATGCTATCCCAATACCGGCTCCTTCCACTCCACACATACTTACTTTTTATCTACTTCTCCTGCATAGTTATTTTCTTGTATCATATCTGTTTGCTGTCTTCCTGGTGATTTCTGCTAGTAGTGGCGACTTTTTTTGAAAGAGAGTCATTTGGGCTTGACTTTTACATGTCATTTGCAGAAACGGGCTATGGGTGCAGAGCAGGAAGCTGCAAAGGCCTACAAACAAATTGATAAGTTGAAGAAGAAACATGAGAATGAGATTGTCTCACTTAATGAGCTTGTTGCAGAAGCACGTTTGCTGCACAAGGGATCGGTATCTCCGATTTATGATGTTGTAATGCCCAATTATGACGATGAATCAAAGGAGCCACACTGTGTCAATGATTGTGAGCTTGCACAATTAGCAGAACCATCCTGGTCCTCCAGTTATGACAGATGCAACATATAAATCATCATTCTTTGTCATTTTGTACTTTGTTTATAAATTAAAAAATGAAAACTGTATTCTTTCGCTCTTACTCTTTGTGAGAGCATAAATGAGTCTGTATCCCATATATATGCGAGACCATATGTTTATTAAATCTACTTTTACTGCAAAGCCTAATCTGAATCGGCGGATTGTCTGCCGATGATGACAGACTGGATGCAGTCTTGTATTTGTATGTCTTTGAAGAATCATTAGGATCCATAAGTGTAATGATTACAGTGTTTACAGTGTGGATTCAGTCTTGTAATCAGCGGATTGTCTGCCGATGATTACAGAGTGGATGCAGTCTTGTAATTATGTCTGAAGAATCAACAAGATCCTCAAGTGTGTAATGATTAGAGAGTGGATGCGGTCTTGTATGTCCGAAGAATCATCAAGATCCAAGTGTGTAATGGCTATCATTAATAAATTTTTGGCACTGTCGGCATACCCATTTTAAATATGGTTGACTTTTGCATATGAACATAAATCAATATTTTATTATTCATATACGATTTTTTTTTTGGAATAACCATGTGTTAAAATTTTTTTCCGCAAATAATCATATTTCAGAAAATCGCATAAGGGAGGAGCCAATCCAGTTGGCGCATCCTCTCCCATTCTTGCCCTAGGCTCCATCCCACTTGGCGTCTCTTCTCTCTTTTAGTCAAGTGAGATGACGCATGCACTTTAAAAGTGAAAGGAGGCGCCATCTCACTTAGCTCATAGGGCAAAATGCTATTTTTATAAATAATTCGTCCGTTTCTCCGTCATTCCTCACACTTTCTCGCACTGTTCTCTTATTTTTACTCTGTTATTTGTGTCATGGCATCGCCCATGATTTTTACCAGAGATGGTTACGTTATTTTCTCCGTCACAAAAACTCCAATGAAAATGAAATTCTGGCATAGTCACTCCATGGAGCGTTTGAAGAGGGAGTTAGTGTGATGGCTAGAGGGAGACATCGAGGAGAGGAAACAAATTAGAAGGATCCAGCGAAGACTAACAACAACCTCACTTCCAGCGAAGACTAACAACAACCTCACTTCTGATAGGAAGACCTAATTTTCGGTTGGAGGAAGTCAAAACAGACAGCGACGTAATGTTAGCAACCTCACTTCTGACAGGAAGACCTAATTTTTGGTTGGAGGAAGTCAAAATAGACAGCGACGTAATATTGATGATGCATGGGTCATATGAAATTGTTTTAACGGTTGTAATTTCGTAGACTGTTTGTCGTGTTTTATTTCTTGTTCGCGCAATGTTTATTGTAACAAATACTGTTAACGAAAAACCCTAATGTTTACAACTTAATAAAGGAAAGATTTTTTGTAATACAATTTTTATGTGGTTGAGCCAGTAGCCCGATTCGGACAATTTTTACGATTGTGTCCGATCTGACGACATAAACCACATTTTCTTTCCAACTTGTCAAGGGAGTCCATTTCGATTGTGATGCGCTTACTTTTGGGACGATCCTTTTTATTCCTTCGCATTTGGTCATTGTGCCATACTATTTCGCCGTCGTATGCAGGCCAATAATCTGGTTTTGCTACCAAAGAGAAGTTGTTGTTGTAAACGTTGAGCAAGGTTTCAGATTTGTAAATGGGAGACAAAATTTATAGCGCGTCTTGATGAGTATAGGCACACGCGACAATGACATGAGAGCAAGGCATACGAAAGTCTTGAAACTTGCCACAATCGCACCAACGAGAAGGTAGTATAACCCTATATTCTTGTCTTGGCAGACCCTCGTTGTGGTCGATTGTCTCTTTGACAATGAAGTTGTGGCTGTGTCGGTCAAACCGTATAACCAGATGGGTGTTGGCTTTGGCACTTTCTGCCTTAATGTACTTCATGCAGCTTTCACTCCATAGTTGTCTAGATTGTAACACAGCATTCCATATTTCACCTCTTTTGGCAAACAACAAAGCCATCCTAAAATATGTTGATTTAACCAAAGCAGTGACCGAGAGGTTTCATATGCCTTTGAATACCCCATTCATCGATTCAATTAGATTTGTTGTCATGTGGCCCTATCTTTGTCCATTGTCGTATGACCTAGTCCATTTTTCTACCGAAATATTATCGATCCACCTACCGGCTTCCGAATTTGACAAATGGATCTCGTTGCGATAATATTTGAACGTAGGTTGTTTCAATGCATATCCCACATTCATAACCGCTTTTCTAAGAGTTTTGTCTTTGATCTCCCTCGTAAAATTTTGGACGATATGTCTAATGTAATAGACATGCGTAGAATGAGGGTCATGCCAACCGTTTGCAGGATTATTGTATGCACTTTCAATGGATTCATGTCTATCAGAGATCAAATAGAGATCTGGTTGAGGAGCCACGTGTGTTTGGAGATTCTTGAGAAAAAAGCTCCAAGCACCACCAGTCTCCCCCTCGACTATGGCAAGGGCAAATGGGAAAATGTTGTTGTTTCCATCTTGTGCAACTGCCATCAGTAGCGTGCCTTTGTATTTCCCATACAACAAAGTCCCATCAATTTGTATAATTGGTTTGCATGATGCAAACCCTGTGATGCAAGGTTGAAAAGCCCAAAACACTCGACTGAATATTCCATTTCCGTTGAGTTGACTACCATCCAGGGCGTATGCTGGCACTGTTTCCAGAATGTAAACAGTACCCGGAGAATAAGTCTGGAGTGCATTCAGGTAGTGAGGAAGTTCTTGGTATGACTCCTCCCAGTTCCCATATAACTTTTCAATCGCGTTGGTCTTTGCTAACCACGCTTTTCGGTAAGACAGAGTATAGTTAAATACCGTAGTGATGTGTGAGATTATGGTTTTCACCTTCAATGATGGATCGTTGCTGACGAGTGGTAGGATTTCTTGACAAATGAGATCATAATTTAGTTTCCAATGATCCTGTGATTGAGTAGAACTGACACAAATGTGGGTAGACATAGAACTTATGACCCAACAATCACCTCTTAATATGTATGCTGCACTGAGCTTGAATATACAATCAGGGTGGACACACTTGATCTTGTACCTTTCTAGATTTACACGGTCCACCTTAAAATCGACCGAGTTGAGCATGTGAAATTTTTTGAGGGCTTTGATACATTCTTCTCTGTTACGAAATTTGTCTTTCTCTTTTAAGTTTTCGTTCGACTGCATATACGGATTAAAAAATAAATCAGAAGACGGTTAATCTCCCCCCATGTTAAAGTTTGTCATGTGCGGAGGTTGTGTGTAGATCTCTTTTGAAGGAATACCAGGTATCCCATCGTCTTAGGAATCATCATTGACCATTTCGTCAAACTCCAACTCGTCATCTTCTTCTTCTTCATCAACGGCATCTACTTCTGCTTGTTCGGTCTCCAAAGGATCAACCACTTGTGACAGCTGAGGCTCTCGCAACATAATGTACAACTCAATAGAGTCGTACCCAGAATACTCATGACTGGAAAATATATTCTGAAGGTCCTCGTCATCTTGAACCTCAACCTTATAAAATATTATTTGATTGTTACCAAAAAAACCGGATTCTGATAAAATATTTGTGTCATGGGGCCTCGTCTAAGTTTGGCCTCCAATCATTTTTTGAAGTACAAGAAATTGGCTTTCCTGTTTAAACAAAATCGGATGTTCTCAGTGTCTCTAAATAAAAACCCAGAGGTGGGACAAATGTATGTCTCACTGTTGAAATGTGCACTGATCACATATTGGGGGTGTAGAGGCCATTGTGTATGACTGTTTGAAGGTTTGAAGTTTATGAGTTAATTGCTGGAATTTTTGAATGTTTTAGTGTTTGAGAGATTAAGTGTATGAGTGTTTTGATAAATATAAGAATAAATAGGTTGTACTGCAACCCACGCCACCTCTTATTCGCCAACAGGGATGGCGACACCTTTCATTTTTGTACTCTTTTGCCATGTTCAATGGCGCCTCCCTTCACGTCTGTGATACGGCAGGAGAACTGACTCTGGTCATTTTGCGTTTGATCGCGTTTGTGCGGATAGCAAGAGTCGCCACCGACTTTTCTTTTATCCAAAAGGAAAGGTAAAAAAGCACACGAAAGACCTTTCGGGATTATTTCTCGGGTTCGGGGGGTAGATTATGAAAAGGGAAGGTATTAGCACCCTTTTCATTCGTAGTTATCTACGGGCTCTTAGTTACTCGCTAGATCACTTATTTTTTCTTTGACAATATGCTTGTGGTGTGGGCTTTGAAAGTATTTTAAAAATATCTTTGTAATGGTTCTCGTTTCTATAAGAACGCGTACAAAGTTTTATTTCGAAAAATAATTCAAAGATGTATTTGTGGAATGTGTTTTTGAAAGTGGTTTTGAAAAGATGTTTTGCAATGGTTCTCGTCTCTATAAGAACGTATACAAAATGTTTTGTCTTTTTGAAAATGTTTTGAGATGAAAGTGCCGGTGTAAAAATGTTTTTTTCATGAGAAAGAGAGCAAATAGGAGCGAATCTACCTAATCGAAAGGTCTTAAATATTCTTTTCTTCCTCCTTTAGATGTTGTTATCTTACCATTGATTTGGTAAGAAGCCCCATCGTTGGATGTGAAGGGACAGGCGCGAGTCAATCGTACAGTCCTCGAAAGCAACTTGTGAGCGACTTTAGCAATTTTTCGTAAGGGACTAGATCGTTTTATCAAAGGCAACGTTGAAGGGTCATCGAGGGACTACGATCTTTTTTATCGAAGGGTCTTTGCTAAAGCGTCCCATATTCGTGGGACATGACTGCATTTCCGAGACAACGAGCGAGGTTACTCTAGAGGTGCGCATGTGAAAAAAAAGTGTGTTTGTTTCAAGTTAATTTTGGCTTTGATTAGGTTATCTAGCGATTGTTTTTATGTCTTGCCATACACGCCTAATTACTATACAGTATAAGGAAAATAGTAAATTGCGAAAATGGAAATTCTACGCTATTACAGAGCCTTCGGGAATGGGGGTACAATTTTTTACAAATGGGGATGAGTCGAATGCGATTAAA